CAAAAAGAATGCTGCTAATGTTTGCCAAAAAAAAATTCCAACATCGTATAACAATTCGATCTCTCAACTTATCAAATTTAAACAGTTAAGTTTCTTGATCAATGAATGTTTCTACAAAACTTTAATTAAGAAATTTAACGAAGTAAAACAGCTTTTAGAGATAATGTTTCGTGATATTGTTTTTGAATCACAGTGAGTACTTAAGTGTACTTTAAGTATCAATGATCTTTAGAAGTTTATGTAATAATAAATAACCATATATATTCTTGCTCTGGATTCGACTCATACGATTCGGCTCTTTCATACTCATGGTTCAAGAATACTAAATATATTTCCTTTACTTATTGATTCATATACTGAAGATGCATCATCATTATCATTTGTCAATGCTTTTTTGCTAAGCACAAACTTTTCATTAATGATTATATTGTTAAATATAAAATTTAATTCTTATATTATTTTTAAATTGGTCAAAATAAGTTGTGAAATACATATAGAGAAAGATATTCTTAAGTAACTTAATTATTTTATTGATTGTTTAAAATTTTCGAATTATAAAATATGAATATATTCTTCATATTTAAAAAAAAAAATTAAATAACATTTCATTTCGTAAGAATATTTATCACCCATGATATGTAGAACAGTCGACTAACTTTTTTCAATAAGAATCAGATCTAAAATATTAATTAGGGCTTACTAAGGATGGAGTGGGGTCAGTCAAAAATTCTTCTACTTGGACAACACCATTTGTTACTTAATTTACATTGATTAAACATTTTTTAAATATAGTGAATATATTACTTATATATGATATATTATTAAAATGGATTATTACAGGGTATTAATAATAAGATGTGTGAGGAAAAATGATAGGAGAAGCGTAGGTCATGCTAAAGCTCTAGGATGCATGCAATTAGGCTGAGTTTGAAATGCTTTATAAAATAAATCAGAGAAAGAAAATTACCTCTAAATCACAGATTTAAGTTTATTTATAATTCCATTTCAAGTAACAACAGTATGTTATGTATATAAAATATATTAAAAAAAAAAAATATATGAAGTTTCATTATTGAATAAAAACATTAAAAGCACTACTTTGATAAAAACAAAACAAAGAAACTTTGTAATAAAATGCATACTATCAATAGAAATCCTTTCTACGATTTATAAATCTGGGCTATTTATTTTATAATATCATAAAACAATAATAAAAATGTACACACACATATATATAGCGAAAAATGAAACCTGAAAAAGTGCAAAACATAAAATATGTAATAAATCCAAAATAAAATATTTTAAAAATTAATAAAATTGGTCATTTGGCAGTAACTGGAAAACATAATAATATAATTGAAGAAAAAAACCATCTCTTTGGCAGAGATAGTTCCAAAACCAAAATAAATTTTTGTTTTAGGTACAAAAATATATTTTAATACAATAAAGCGTTCACAATCCCCTACAATAGATTATTATAGTTTTTTTAAAATAAATTTTTATTGGAATAAATATAAATATTTAAAATATTTCTTCAAATACTGTTGTCAATTTAGCACATTAAGATAAGAACTGAAGTCAGTAATATATAGAAAGTGTTATCATGTAAACATTTAGAGCGTTGAGTGGATTTCATAGAATATTTGACAGGGAAGAAAGTTAATAAGTAGAAACATTTACTGAGTGAATTAATTGATATAAATTATTTATTTTCTAATTATATCTATCAAAATGATGGAAAAATTGTAAAAAAAAATAATGAAAATTATTTTATTCATTCAGATTAGAATATTATTGAATTTATCAACATTTTTTATTTTTATTTATAATTTTTTTTTTGGCAGTTAATTGTCTGTAATGTATGTTATAGAATTAATAATAAAGACAAAATCATTATTATTTAGTAGCAAAAAGGTTTTGATCCAAAATTAGTGGTTATTATTTTAAAGCTGAAATCACATTTCAAGTGAATATGACTGTAAAATTGAAAATGAAGTATATATACATACATTATATAGGAAATGCATACTAGTATTTTCAGGTAATGTATTGTTATAACCAACGATTGACAAACAGTTACTTTAAGGGATGATGACAGTTAAAAAAAAAATTAAGTACTTATTACATTCTTACTTCTTTGTTTAAACAACACTACAGACATTTTTCATATCATAACCATTCTTTTAAAAATAATTCCTTTATTATAACTTGTTCTCAAACCAAACCATCTTGTAACGAATAGAATATCAATTGGGCTCAATCGAAAGTGCTACGTTCAGATAAAAATTTTTAATGCCTCATTATAAAAATGATTTTTCAATCTCAAAAACTCCTTGAATTAAACTATATTAATTTGATAGGTGATGAATGGCTTAACTTCTTTAAATAATATATTCATTTAAATTTTTTTTATTTATTTTCGTCCGAGATCACTTAAGAATAAAACAAAAATCAACTAATTACAATAATTTAAAAAAAAAAAATTAAATTAGCCAATGTTCAGACCAGATCGAGTAAAAATTATCAGGATTAGAACAGTTTAAATTACTATACAAGAACTGGACAAAAAAATATATATATATAAATAAAAAATACTAAAACAACGAACTTGGCCAAGTTCTTTTAGAGTGGAATTAAAAAATATATCAATTTAAATGGGGAAAATAGTTTTGCCGAAAAATTGAGCTAATTTATAAAATAAGAATCTGTTTTATTTAAGCCATATAAGAATAAGCCATTTTCAAGCCATCTATAATATAAACACCATTAATTTTATATTTTAATGTAATTCTGCACTCTATGAAGGTGGTATTAGTATTATTTAATTAAATATTATATTATAGATGGCTTACGGGCCAAAACGTAACTATGAAAATTAAAATAAATATGGTGAAAAAATAAACGGAGCCTTATTTTATAATATTAAAAAAAATTAACCTTAAACAGGCACATATGGAACTAATTTAATTTTTAAAATAACTTTTTTTTTTTTTTTTAGAGCTTTGAATGATCCAAAATTAAGAAATTATTCAAATTCTACATTTACCGCAGTGAACCATTATTAATTATTTGTTATATACTTTAAATAGATCAAGGACCAAAACAATTATTTACTTCACCCAAATAATTTTGTTAAATCAGTTCAAAATCATTTTAAGTTTAAGTTTAGTTAAATACATATTACTGTATATATATATATATATATATATATATATAAATTATTAGATCGTTCTTAATTATTCTTACTTCATGTCATCTCTCATTTTTTTTTCTATTATGACTGTTTATTTACTTTGTGATTATTATTCATGTATCTCTGAGGCTCCAAAGCCCACATTTCTGTATTTTTGTATTATTCTAAAGGGACTCATCACAGAATAAATAAAGTATTATAATGATTATTATAATTATTTTAGAATTTCCTAGTTTCTTGGGTTTCGCCAGAAATATTTACCTACCCAGACCTACGTCAAGAGTTAGGCTCACATTTTAGACTATGTTTAAAAATTTTCTGACGATATTCCCCGTGCCAAGGAGATATGTTTCCTGCCCTTCGTCCAATACTTTTTCTAGCAGTTTCGACTTCTCAAGTATTATTATTACTAAGGAAGTATAAATTTAAAAAATGCATCTTTAATAATATTAATTTAGAATTGAGGCATATTACTTGATGTATTCTATAAATATTATCCCTGTTGCTAATAGCAATTATTTATTTATTTTTTTGTTTAATTCTAAAAAGCTTAAATATTGTTTTTCAGTTGTTATAATGGAAGTTTTAGAAAACAATATTGCTTTCCCATGATGCATTAAACTAAATTTAAATTAAATCTTAATATGTAACATAAATTCATGTTTAATTATTTATTTAAAACAGAAGCTTGTTTGGTAGGGGGTGGGAGAGGGGTGTGCAGTCTGGAAAGAAAATAGCTATGTTTTGGCCTACGTTGCAGTTTTAAGTTGGCAAATTAAGTTGAAACGTATGCATACATCCAGATTGCATCCCTTTCTCCAAATAATTTCTTTAATTAGTTCAACAGTCAAAAATACCTCCACCATTAAAACTTTTTATGTAATTTAAAAGTTTGGAGAATAAAACTTTTTTATTATTAAAAAAAATGTAATAATTTATTTATTTCCTTTCAGATAAAAATATAACATTTAATTACAGTCTCTGAAATATTGTAGTATTGAGTTTAAAAAAAATTAAAATTAACAATAATATCATTTCCCTTAATGGCAGAATAACAAATATTCATATTAAATAAATAAAATATAATTACCAATAATGTATAATTACTCACATATTCGACCAAGAGGAGTACAGAGTTACGAATCACTTTGTTCACAATCAACGTTACAGCAATTTAAAAAATATACATATATAACATACAAAAACAACATTTTATTTAACTAATAGGAAAGACTATTACTACAAGAAAAAAAAATTTTAAAACAGCCACTACTCTCACAATTTTCTTAATATTACAACAATATAATTAAATAATCATCAAATATTACCCAAGATAAGCAAGTTCAGAAAAATAACACAAGTTGAAACCATAATCATTCCCAACGGTAAAAAAGAGAAAAAAAAAATGGCACAATTGTTATTTAATCTGAACCTACCATATTTAAACTGATAAAATCAAATTTGATTTTTAAAATATGACTACACATAATTTAAGTCTCAACGATTTTAAATAAAGTTAAACAAATTCAACTTATATACATCAGTTGAGTTACATGGCATAAATTAACTAAGCAGGTTTCAAGCCTTATTTACACTTGTACCAATTTTAAAATATAATTTACAACCAAAAAATTTAAATTAATGGGGAACACATTTGGAAGAACTTGTTCAATTTTTTTATTTTTCAAAACAAAAAAAAAAAATAAGAGAGAAAAAAAATACTAGCTTTTAATTAGTTTCTACCAGCTATAACTACTAATAGTACTATAACATATTAATTTACATTTAAAAAAGAAGAAAAAAAAAGAAAAATTCAGATCGTCAGTTGTGATGGAGTTTTTAGTCAGGATAAGTTTCATATATGAAAGTAATTTTATCTAAAATAACTTAACAGGGTATGATTAGAATTTACATGTTCATCTCAAAAAATTATAAAACTATAACATTAAAATTTTGTATATTTTTCATTTTAAAAATTGGTTGAATTTAATTTGAGGTAGAATCAACATAATATAAATAAATTTTTAAAAAAATCAACAAAAAGTTCTTAAGATGTGATTTTTAAAAATAAAATTATAATTTTAAAGTTTGCATCCCTAAAGAATTTGTTATATTGCTCTATTACAACTTACTCCCCATCTGTTGAACAACCAGTTCATTAATAAATATAATTTATTTTCTACCTTAGCTTTGCTTCTTCATGTTTTGGAATTTATATTAATTAATAAAATTATATTATAAAGGGTAAGAGTTTAGCCTTTTGTTTTATTATTTTATTTTTCTTTATTTTGATCAATTCTGTAAACAAATTTGTAACTCACAACTTTATTCTATAGAAAAAATTATATAAACTTTAATGATGAATCTTTTATCCTTTAGAAGGTTTTCTTAAAGACACCATACTTTATATTTTTCTCTACATTTACATGGACAACCAATGAGGATGTTCAAATATAAAATATTTACTGTTAGTAGATGCTCTTATTAATGTATCAAAGAAAAAAAAATTAATTTGTTGAATTCACTCTTTTTTAAAAATTTAATCATTTAAAAAATTCATTATAATTAGCAAAAATGGTATATAAATAGTTGAAACTTCATCTTATTAAAAGAATTGGGTTAAAAGCCTTACAATGGTGTACCATTTTCAACATAATTACTTTGATTCTATAATTGTTTTTATTTCTACTTTCTCTAAGGCATAAACATAAAAGAAATGCTGATTTGATGAAACGTTTTAATTTGTATATATTTAAAAATTTTCTATTAATTTTAAGAAGAAAAAAAATGTAGCGAGAAATGTCAAATTCAGAATAGTTTACTATTTCCATGACAATGAACCTTCAACTATTGCTCAGAGTGGCTATATTTTTCTTAAAATCATAAAAGTAAATGAAAAAACTCGATTAATAAACTGACTAAGAAATCCAACACAAAAGAACGAACATGAATGAACTTGTTCGAACATAAAATTAAAAAAAAAATAATTTAATTCTTAGGAACTATTTTATAAGGCATTTTACTAACAAAGTCGATTATCAAAGAGACTTCGCATGTGCTTGATATAATTTTCTATCAGTTTGATCGTGTACATCGCTTTAAGAGCTGATTGAGGAGGCAGACCTAGGAATATTTTTCGACAAACAGCTGATCTACGAGTGAAGGCCGAGAGCGGTGAAAAGTTTACTTTTGAAAGATCCGTGCTTTGTTGGATCTATGAGGCTTTGCTGACTAGAAGCCGGAGAAGGAGATCCCCCGCCATCTAGATATTCTACTCCGAGTCTCTACAAAACCAAACCAAACCAAATTTTCTTCCATACTCTGAATCTCGATGATTCTCTATCAATATTCTGTTATATTTAACAAAAAAACAATTTTCTGTTTAAACTAACATAACCAGGAACCAATTTGGAATAATATTATCAGATATTTCTAAATTAAAGAAAACATAATTAAAAAAAAAAAATTCCAAAAGGAAGAACTCATTCAAGATTTGAACCAATACAAAAATGTGATACATTATTAATGACGGATAAAAACAAATTTTTTAAGCATTAAAGAAGGCGAAGATCATTTGACAGTGGTTTTTTAAAGGCCCTTTTACACGGTTAAGTTTCTGAATCAGTTTCTTGGATGAATTCACTTTGGTCGAAAAACTTATACTTGAAAAAGGTTGCATTAGGTCACAGGACCTAAATGTTTGAACATGTTGGAAATTTTTGACCAAACTATAGCAGCATTCCTAGTGTTCAGGAAACAGACTATTATTCAAAACATGCTATGTAATCCTATTATTTTTCTATTATATTGTCAGTATGACAGCGTTTCATTTTAGTATTATTATAGTATAAATGTCGGGCTGCAGCTTGATGGTGATAAGCGACACACCATCTCTGTATGGCATTTTAATGCTTAGGTAAACTTATTAGTTACTCTTGAGGTTTACAGTCATTTGTTTGAATATTTCTTTATGGGATACCCCATACATAACGTTGAAGTAATAGAAATGGTAATTCATTCTTAAATTTTTTAACATAAATAACAAACAACATTCGAAATAAAGTCGCAAGATAAAGTTACATTCCTGGCACACCTAGTGGAAAATATATATTAACTAGTATTCCGACTTTGTTCGAGAAACATAATTGTGTAAAAGGGTTAATATAGTCTGAAGTGATCTCCTCTGATGGTTGAAAACCATAAGACTTAACTGCAATTTACAAGACAAACCATGATGTTACAAATCATGTTGTATAAATATTATGTACCATGGTACAACAGCAGGGTACCCATAGCTCTATTACCGATCCCTTTGAAACCAATTAAGTAGTGGTCCAACTCACTCGGGTTCAACGTCATTGACAAACTAGTCTAGATCTACAGATAATGGCTATTCAGATGCTTAAAGTATATATTTCTTTCTCAGAAAAATACCATCTCTAATCGGTCTCACATACCCGAAAGGGATATAGTAATTAGGAGAATATAAGGTGTATGGCTTTCATCATTGGACAATCATTCATCCAAGTATTTACCACACTCAATGTTATTCAACTTCGATTATCTGTAGCGAACAACTTAGCTCAAATTGTCATCCCCTCCTCAAAAAACCCTGGATAGTTTATAATTAAAATGTTAATTAATTATAGAAAATAAAATTAAAAAATAAGGTTAAAATAACAAAAAACCAATCAATCAATTACCAATCCCGGCACATAGATGTAGAATAGAGGTTTATTTATTTTTAGTTAAGATAATATTTTGCTTTTATAAATGATCACTAAAGACTGGATTTCCATGTTATTGCACATATTATTCACTCACACGTAAAAACTTCAAACCCGACTATCTATCCGTTTTATGATCTGTAGAATGACATACTGAAATTTGGTATAGCAAGAAATTGAAAATTTTTCTGCATTGTGTCTAAATTGTACGATTTTAATTCTAGTTGCACCAAATTTTTCATTTTTCCATTTTTTGTGCTTAATTAAATGATGTATAATTATAAATATATATATGTGGGCGTGAAAATATTCATATTTTTATTTTACTACCTTGTCCATATTAAATTAATAATTTAAGATAGAAAAATATGAGGAATGTAAATAATTCTGTGACTAGCAACAGTTCAAATTTAATGTTACAAAAGAAGGAAAGAAACACAAGTTGATAATATTCTGAGTATAGAACTTGTCTAAAGAATTGGATAGCAATAAAAATCTGCCTTCCTAAAATAAGGTGTTTTGTTAAAATAACATTTATCGTTATTGTTTTATCTTGAAATGTCATTAATTCTTCAGCCCTTCAGTATTCCTTTAAAGTGAATTGTAGTTATTTCATTATTATTAACAATTTAAGATTAGGGTCTAGTATATCGTCAACAAATAAAATCTGGATATATAATTACCATGAGTTGAAATTTGATCGGAAAGTTGTCTTCTATATGATCCTATGAAATTGGGTGTGATAGAAAATTAGAGATAGACACTCTTTGTAGAACAGGAAAGAACAAAATATTTCTATTAGAGAATTCAAAGTTTTTTTTTTAGAAAAAGCAATTAGTCCCAAAAATATTTATGTTTAATGATCTAGAAAAATTGCACCAACAATAATATTTGAACACTTTAAAATCTCAAATATTACTGTGTAATTGTTAAGGTTAAGACATTTTATTTTCAATGTTACAGCCCAAGATAAACAGAGATGGAGTAGGGTTGTCAAGGCAACAAAAGATCTACAAGATCTGTAATGACAACAGAAAAAAAAAAGTTACCTTTTAATTTTTATTTTTCACGCTACGCATTATTTTAATACAGAAGATCGGAAAAAAGGTTTGGTCAGATTTCGATGTATTAATATTAAACATTTTTAATAAATTAAACAAAATAGATAATTTTTGCATGTTTTTATGTATTAATTACACAATTTTACATATTTTAGGTATTTACTTCATGATTTATATTTGAAGTTTTTTTGATTTTTATTGTACAAAAATTTGGTCTCCCATGATCACTATAGTTGTGTGAATTTAAAAATAATGTTTAAAACGAAGTTATTATTAAAATTCCATGTGAAATATTAGAGAATGTGGTAGCTCAGTGAGTAAGACATTCCTATCCTCCTGGCCCCGAGTAAGAGTCCAGCTATGGCAGGTAATTATTTATTCTGATATAAAGAATAATTTAGAATATAATTAATCTAATATAGCCAGAAGACCTTCCTAAGACAAATATAAAAGTGGGCACTCTTATTTAATTAATCAAGAGGAAAACCTGTTATTGAATCTGATCATTGTGATATATCACTTTCTTGCACAACCTTTGACCTAAAATCAGTACTTGTACTGAACCCAAGATCCTTCAGAATTTGCAGTGGTACAAGTATATTATAAACAGTCAAATATTTTAAGTATGGATTCAAGCCTATGAGAAGTTACGTGAATTGACTCTGTCGTATCACTTATCAACATGACAATTTTAAAGAAAGCCAAATTATTTTTTCTAATAGTCTGTGGGCCAGACCCCCCTACCATGCACCCCCCACATCTCTATAAATTATTGTTTTGTTCCTTGTAACTATTTATTAAAAAAAAAACAATATTCTCACAAAAAAAAGTGAACTATTCATTATATGAACTAGTCATTTCCGGGAAAGTATATACAATTTAAACTACCTCTAAGAATCAGTAAATATGGAGTCCAAACATGGGGGACTGACGACTTTGACTTTAGTACGTTTTTTGGTCACTGAGAATCAGCATATGGCTTAATTTTGTCATAGTTGATCTTTTATTTAAGAGGAATAGTCAGAGAATAATAAAACATGAAAAATATTTAAAAAATAATTGGCTTAGGCAATAAAAAACACCAGTAAAGTCAATTTGCTTTACAAACAATTTTTAATAAAACTTAATTCAAAAATACTTTGCTGAATATCTTGAATTTTTTTTTTTATTTAACGTTTGCAATGTAACACCTTGTTTTGTATATTTACTGATTCTTAGAGGTAATTTAAATTGTATAAACTTCCCTGCAAATGATTCATATTAATACCTGTTTTATAAACTAAAATAATACATACCTAATCTCAACTACATATAATGAATAGTTCACTTTTTTTTTTTGTGAGAACATTGCTTTTCTTAAAATAAATAGTTACAAGGAACACAAGGATATGCAATTTATAGGGATTTGGGGAGAAGGGGGTGCACGGTAGGAGGGTCTGGCCCACAGACTATAAGGTTAATTAATATGTGTCAACTTACATATCAGCGAGTATTTATAAGACTTGTGTTCAGCTCTACCCAAAACTATATAATTTTTGTTTTAATTTAGCAATATTTATCGAAGTATTGCGGAAACCCTAGTATGGAGCTAAAAATTAAGTAATTGGCTTCCTGAATTAATAAAAATTCGGATAAACCATTTCAGTAGGGAAAAACATTAATATGATGAATCTACAAACCCCCAGACCAAAGGAAACGAGAAAAACATAATGGTTTAATGGATTCTTCATGGTAAAGAACCTATTTAGCTTTCAATAATTTGTTTAAATAATTTCTTTATGATATCAACAATAAGTCAATAAAAATAACGATACTCATAAACTATATAAATCATATCAGTAAATAAAGAGAACCATTACTAACAATATAATTAAAACCACCAATAATGTATCACATTTTTCAACAAATCTCAATGAGTTCAGGCAGGTTTTACACAAGTGAAAATATAATTATGCTACTTTGAGATAACTATCATATTTACTTTTTTTGAAAAAGAATAATAAGGAAAATGAACCAGATTCTCATTAAAATTAAAACAACTTGTTTAAGTACTATTAAATGAAGAATGTGTTAAAAACGAGGCACATAATCGAAGACTATCTTAAGTACAGCAGAAAAATGGCCCAACTTAGACATTCCTCAATCTCTCGCCAAGGTACTAAGTGAAGACCACGGTTACCTTAACAAAGTTAACAAGTTTTTAAAAGATACAGAAATTCAAAACAAGATTTGAAAATTGAATCAAGTTGGCAAGAAATCAAAGAAAATGGGCAATTATAACCATCGAAGTTTTTTACCTCCTCAAAAATAAAAAGTACAAACTTTAACAATCATTAAAGCATCACTATATATTGATTTCATAGTATACATCTCTTTTTAGAATCTTGAAGTGATAGACATTATCAAAGGAGTTTCACAAAGAGGTGATAGATGCCAATTTCTATTCAAAAGTTGTTACTGTAATTTAAAATGATTAAAGGAGTATGGTTTCAAAAC